AAGGAGATGGTATAGAAAATTTTCAAAAAGAACATCATTTTTACAAAAGGATTTTTAAAATAGAAAAGAACTTTGAAAAGAGAAAAGGGTGGTGGTGCATGCAATCGGCCGAGCTGAAGTAAGTACTCCCAAATTACCCATACAAGATTATGTTATGTTATGATTATCATCTTTATTAGAACAACATGCTAGATTAGGACTAAGGATCTAGAAGGATGCCTTATGTGCCTGTTATATGTGTTCAGCTTTATGAGAATTGCATGCTAGTACAGATTAGCCAGTATGATAGCCTGATTAGTATATGTTTGATTATGTGCACTCGATGTCCGAATGCTGCTTGCTTTGTGCTCTTAGGAGTTCTAGCTGTCTTCCACTAACTAGTAAACAAATATGTTAAGTTACATATTGCAAGGACTAAATAATTTCAGAAGGTTAGGTCTAACCCTATTTCACAGCACTTGTATGAGTCCAACCGTTGTAGGGTAGGATCTCTCATTCGAAGAATTATCTAGTCTGAGGATATGTAATAGTATTTGCGAGCTAGTTAGGGGAAGAAAGCAGGGACTTCTTACGCAGCTGATGGCGGAGAGTGGGTCGGTGATTACCCTAGGGCAAGCCTAGGATGAGAGTAGCAGAGATCAGTAGTAGTAGAAGGGATTTGGTGGAGTCAAGGCAGTTCTTGAGGAAAGTACGGATAGATGGTGAAAGGTAGTATGTGCCCGTACTACTGAAAGCAGAGGATCCGTACTCGAATCAAGGAAGGCTGAGACAAGACCAGGAAACTTGTGGTAGAAGTTATCCCTCCTGTTATGTCAGTATTTCTGATGATTGTTATTATATGTTTCAGAATGGTGGTTTTATGCCCTAGACCAGCAGTCGGCAGTTCAGGTGCCGGAGAGGGATCAGGTTCAGGCTCGGGAGCCGAGCATTTGGATGAGCAGACCAGAGAGTTCATCTCTTCCGAGGTCACGCGTAGCATACTTGAGCAGACTCCTGTGATCTTTGGATCGGTCAAGGAGGGTATCCTAGAGCTTCTGGATGAGAAGTTGGGCTCGTTCCGTATTGAGATAGCGGCCATGATGGGATCGCGCACGATGACATTCAGAGAGTTCCGGGCTTGTGGAGCTCCAGATTTCCAGGGGGCCCGAGACCCCATTGCGAGTACCAGATGGTTGGCCGATGTGGCCAACGCTTTCTACACTAGCAGATGTCCCGAGGGGGACAAGGTCCGACTTGCATCCTGTCTTCTGAAGGGCAGGGCACGTGATTGGTGGGAGGAGGTCGGACATGTTATTGGGGATGATGCAGCTCTTGATGTTATGACCTGGATGGATTTTGTGACCCGGTTCCGGGCCGAGTTCGCACCTTTTATTGAGGTGCAGCAGCTTGCTAGGGAGTTCCAGGATCTCCAGCAGATGACAGAGACAGTGGCGGAGATTACCGCCAAGTTCAGGGAGAGGGCTCTTCTCGTTCCTCAGATGAGGAATGAAGAAGGCCCGATACCATGAGATGTTGAGGAGTGATATCAGACAGTTTGTGAGCGCCAGCTGTAAAACGCTGGACGACATGATTGCGAAGGCTCGTGAGAGAGAGATTGATTTAGAGATGGAGAGGAAGAGGAAGCCAGAGGGCGGACGGTGTAAGTGAGTTCGGGAAAAAAGCCCAAGGTGTCTGATTACAGGTCTAGGGGACAGCAGAGCCACAGTTGGTGTGGCAAGTGTGGCAGATTACATGATGGGCGTGCAAGGAAGGGAGTTCTGGTTGCTACAAGTGCGGCCGGACAGGACACATGAGCAAGGATTTTACAGCTACCACCGCTACCACCACCACAACATCTGATCTGATTTGCTTCCATTGCAATCAGAGGGGACACAAGAAGTTCCAGTGTCCGAGTCTGGCAGCAGCAGGAAAGATGGTGGCACCGCACCCGCCCTGCAACTATGAGGATTACAGACGGCCGTCAGGGCCGGGCTGAGGAGCGCCAGTGGCGATAGTAGAGCGTTTCAGATGACAGCAGAGGAGGCGCGGGCGACTCCTGACGTGGTGGCAGGTATGATTTTCCTCTTATCTCTGTTTTAGTATTGATTGTTTCTTATGGTTATGTGTTTTGTATAGGGTCGTTCTTAGTGAACGGAATTTTAGCTACAGTATTGTTTGACTCGGGGGCTACCCGATCATTTGTCTCGCTTGCGCTTAGCAAGCGGTTTAGCAGAGCTCCAGGGGAGCTGGATTGCCCGCTTGAGGTTAAGATAGCTGATGACAGGACCGTCAGGGTCGCAAGAGTACATAGGGGGTGTTCGCTACGATTATTTGATGAGCAGTTCTCAGTAGATTTGGTTCCTATTCCCCTGCGAGGGAATAAGGTTATAGTAGGTATGGATTGGCTGAGTCCCAATGGAGCAGTGATTGATTGCGAGCTGCAGTTAGTGAGGGTTCGCACTCCTAGTGGGGGAGAGTTAGTGATTCAGGGCGAGAGGCCACAGCGCGGACCGATTCTTTGTTCAGCAGCGAGAGCGAAGGCTATATTCCCAGCAGGGTTGCGTGGGGTACGTCGCCTATGTTATAGATATCCGGGATAAGGGTAAGGCGACGGTGATGATGTACCGTGGTACGAGAGTACCCAGACGTATTCCCAGAGGATTTTCCTGGGATACCTCCTGAGAGACAGGTTGAGTTTCGGATTGATCTGGTTCCTGGTGCGGCTCCGATAGCCAAGGCACCATATCGGTTGGCTCCTCCCGAGATGCAAGAGTTGTCTATGCAGCTGCAAGAGCTGTTAGACAAGGGTTTTATCACAGACCGACCAGTTCACCATGGGAGCCCCGATCCTGTTTGTGAAGAAGAAGGACGGGTCGCACCGTATGTGCATTGATTATCGGGAGCTGAATAAGGTAACGGTGAAGAACCGTTACCCACTCCCGAGGATAGATGATCTGTTTGACCAGCTTCAGGGGCATCTTGGTTTTCCAAGATTGACTACGCTCCAGATATCACCAGATGCGGGTCAGGGATGAGGATGTGCAGAAGACCGCTTTTAGGACCCGCTATGGTCATTATGAGTTCGTGGTGATGCCGTTTGGGCTCACCAACGCTCCAGCCGCGTTCATGGACCTCATGAACCGTGTGTGCAGGCCGATGCTGGATCGGTCTGTGATAGTTGTTCATTGATGATATCTTGGTGTATTCCAAGACTCAGCGGAGCAGCATGAGGAGCACTGAGGGAGGTGCTTGAGATCTTGAGGAGGGAGAGACTTTTCGCAAAGTTCTCCAAGTGCGAGTTCTGGTTGCGCGAGGTGCAGTTTCTGGGGCACCTTGTCAACCAGAAGGGTATACTAGTAGATCCGGCCAAGATTGAGCCGTGATGCAGTGGGGTGGTCCCGAGTTCTCCATCCGAGATTCGGAGATTCCTGGGCCTGGCAGGGTACTACAGGAGATTCATCCAGGATTTCTCCAAGATAGCAGTACCATTGACCCGACTGACCAAGAAGTCAATAGTGTTTGCTGGGGTCCTGAGCAGCAGGCAGCCTTTGAGATGCTCAGGCAGCGACTGTGCGAGGCGCCAATTCTTACCCTGCCAGAGGGAGTAGATGACTTTGTAGTCTACTGTGACACTTCGATCACAGGTATGGGAGCAGTGTTGATGCAGCGGGGGCATGTGATAGCCTATGCCTCGAGACAGTTGAAGCCTCACGAGGCTAACTACCCGACGCATGATTTGGAGTTGGGGCTGTAGTATTCACCCTCAAGATTTGGCGGCATTACCTCTATGGGGTCCGGGTGTACTATTTACACGGACCACAAGAGTTTGAGGTACCTCATGGATCAGCCGAATCTGAACATGAGGCAACGTCGGTGGTTAGACGTAGTAAAGGATTACGATGTGAGATCCTCTACCACCCGGGCAAGGCCAACGTAGTGGCCGACGCCTGAGCCGCAAGGCGGTAGCAGCTTCAATTCGAGATATCTGCTTGAGGATGACAGTAGTTACTCCACTATTGGAGAAGATTAGGGAGGCGCAGGTCGAGGGCCTGAAGGAGGAGCGCCAAAAGTGCGAGAGGATAGTTGGCCGAGTGGCTTCGTTTGATTATGATAGTCGGGGATTGTTGACCCTGCATGGGAGGGTCTGGGTACCGTACTGGGGGGAGTATGGATAGTGTTGATGGATGAGGCCCACAAGTCGAGGTTCTCCATCCACCCAGGGGCGACGAAGATGTACAGGGATCTTCGCCCGGATTATTGGTGGCCTGCATGAAGCGGGACATCGCCTGGTACGTTGAGAGGTGCCTAACCTGTAGGAAGGTCAAGGTGGAGCACCAGAGGCCGCACGGCAAGATGCAACCGTTGGATATTCCCGTGTGGAAATGGGAGGATATCACTATGGTTTTATTACAAAGCTTCCCAGGACCCACACGTGGGGTTGATTCGATATGGGTCATCGTGGATCGATTGACCAAGCGCTCACTTTATACCGATCCAGGAGAGTATCTCGGCTGAGAAGTTGGCCGAGATTTACGTGCGAGAGGTAGTGGCACGTCATGGAGTGCCTGTCTCGGTGGTGTCAGACCGAGATGTCCGGTTTACTTCCAGATTTTGGAAGCGGTTTCACGACGAGATGGGTACTCGTCTCCATTTCAGCACCACTTTCCACCCTCAGACGGACGAGCAGAGTGAGAGGACGATTCAGACTCTCGAGGACATGCTTCGTGCATGTGTGCTAGACTTCGGTGGCAGTTGGGATACGTATCTTCCGTTAGCGGAGTTTTCGTACAACAACAGCTACCACTCCAGTATAGACCCGACCTACCTTCTAGATGCTCTATGGGAGGAAGTGTAGGACCCAATCTGTTGGGGTGAGGTCGGTCAGCGAGTCATGGGGAGTACAGAGGTGGT